CAACTGGACACACCCTCCAGACCTTGATCCAGACTTCAGTCCAGAAGGCTTCTGGTATTCACACACCATCCCTGAAGCAGAAAGAACAAGGGCGTTAGTAACAATTCAGACAACATCGGCAGCAGCAGAGACAACATCAGCAGCAGCAGAGACAACATCGGCAGTAGCAGAACCATCAACGGCAGCAACAGGAACGTCAACACCAATTGCTGGTCCTTCAACGACACCGCTCCTCATCGACGACACACCACCGACACCCGCGCAACAACTACACCCAGCACCACGAGAAGTTCATCGTAGCGCCAACTTCACCGCCAACTTCTACTCCAACTCCGATATGTACCGACGATCACCCGGACATCGCGCCGACGAAAGCACCTGGCACGCAAGGATGGGACACCCAAGCAACACAGTATTAAACAATACGATAAGAGCAGGAGTACTCGACAAGGACTCACTCCTACTGACCGACGGACGAGAACTTCAACGAGTACGCGGCACGTGCCTCACCTGCCCTGAAGGTGACTTACCACATCGACCGTTTGCGTCTCATCACAACCCGAGCGCACCCGCGTACGCACCACTCGAGAAGGTGTATAGCGACATCCTGTACAATCGGGAACCAGGACAAGTAATATACAACTATACAATCACCTTCATCGACGCCGCCACCCGTTACGTCTGGCACCTAAACCTCCCTAGCCGCGACACGGCATTCGCAGCCTTCGTTGCCTGGCTACCAGTAGCAGAGAGAGAATCGGGCGTGAAACTGAAAAGCTTCCAGTCCGACGGAGGAGGAGAATACACCTCTCAGCGATTCAAGCAGTACCTGGCGGAAAGGGGAATCAAGCGGCTCATCTCCCTTCCCTACGCCCATCAGCAGCAAGGTGTAGCAGAAAGAATGAACAGGACCTTGCAGAACAGCATGCGCAAACTGTTACGTGGCATGCGGCTACCCAACCACCAGTGGCCTGCGGCAATGGACCACGCCGTCATGCTGCACAACTTGCTCTCGTCATCATCGCTTCCAAACAACGCATCACCGCATCTGCTATGGACAGGGAAACAGGGCAGCACAAAAATGTTACGAGTATTCGGATGCATGGTACAGTACCGACCCCCAGCAGCACGAGCGGGCCGATTTTCTCAACGAGCACAGTGGGGACTACACCTGGGAATCGAAAAGAACTACAACGCGTGGAAAATCTTCGACGTCCATTCCAAGGAAACAGTAGCAGCACGTGATGTAATCTTCTACGAACGACTCACGCTCCAGACATACCTTGCCAACCTGCAAGAAGATCAGGATCCCACAGGTGGTTTTCGCGGTGACCGAGCCTTCGCCTCAGCAGCGGACGAAGCTGACTGGGACGAGCAGAATGTGGACAACGCATCAGAAGAAGCCGGACCTCTTCCGTTCTGCTCCGTCGACGTTCCCATGGACGAAGATAACCCTCGCGAAAGTGCCAACGCTGAAACCTTCTACTATTTCGCCGACAACGGTTACGTAACACCTGCGACAATCAACACCAACGAAGCAGAACGAGTAGGACCGAACTTCATACCTGATCCAAAAGCGGGAGATGAAGCAGCTTATCCCGAGGACGCAAATCTTCCCCGCTACTCACAGAGTGGACTGCAAATTCTCGGACTCGTCACCGCAATCCACGGCACCGCCATTCCTAAAGAGCCTGCGACAGTTCAACAGGCTCTGGGGGGGGAGCATAAGGAAAAATGGCGCGAAGCCATGGACAAGGAGCTGAAGGCACTGGAGGAACGCAACACGTGGAAAGTGGTTCCTATCGGCGTGGCACGGAACAAGACAGTGCTCACCGGGAAGTGGGTCTTCCGTGTGAAGACAAAGGCTGACGGCACCATCGACAAATTTAAAGCTCGCTGGGTTGTACGCGGCTTCGACCAAGAACACGGACGCAACTTCACCGAAACTTTCGCTCCGGTTAGCCGCCACACCTCACTACGCATTCTCCTCGCAATCGCCGCCATGAAGAAGAAGAAGCTGCGACAAATTGACGTCGCGAACGCGTTTCTCTACGCACCTGTTGATGCAGAAATTTTCGTCGAGCTACCGCACGGCTCCCACAGAGAACCCAACCAAGTCTGCCAGCTACTCAAGTCACTCTACGGCATCAAGCAGGCTCCGCAACTGTGGCAACAGTACCTGCACGCTCGCCTCATCCGCATCGGCTTCAAGCAACTACCGCACGATCAAGGCATGTACCGGCTCACAAAAAAACGACGACTACATCCTACTAATCGTCTACGTGGACGATCTCCTTTACATCGGCTCAACTGACGGCATCACTACCTGGTTTGAAGGGGAGCTACAGCGAGATCTCACGCTCACAGTCTCATCTACCGTCACTCAGTACCTTGGCCTCAACATCCGGGAAGAGGAGGACGCGATCTACCTCAGCGCCGAGAAATATGCCGACACCATCGCCAAACGCTTTACGCTCACACCGACAGCCACCTCCACGCCATACCGCTACACGGCAGGGAACGACAAAGGAAGCTCCGCTCTACTCAAGCCCGCCGGCATACGAGACTACCAGAAGAAGCTGGGATGTCTTCTCTTCGCAGCCGTCACCTGTCGCCCCGACCTCTCATACTCCGCAAGCCAGCTCGCCACCTACCTCAAAAGGCCTGAAGCAGAACATCTGGCGCAGCTCGACCGCGCTCTTCACTACTTCGTCAGCACCCCAACGATCGGCCTAACTTACTACAAGAACGCAACCACACCGACTAAGTTAATCGGCTACGTCGACGCTGATCACGCTGGCGACTCCGACAATAGGCGCTCCCGCACTGGCTACATCTACCGTCTCGAACCTATCGGACCTATCTCTTGGCAGTCGAGCAAGAAGGAATTAATTGCTCTCTCGTCAGCTGAAGCAGAATATATTGCACTCTGCTCAGCCACCAAGGAAGGACTCTATCTTCGCGAGCTGCTGGAAGAAGCGAAGTTAGCCGAGTTACCCAACTTTACCCTGTTCTGCGACAACCAGTCGGCAATTCGCATCGCCAACAAGAACGGCTTCGCGAACAGGACGAAACACATCGCCCTGCGATATTTCTTCGTGAAGGACGAGATCGAGAAGGGAAGGCTCGAGCTGTCATACTGTCCCACGTCCGAGATGGCAGCTGACTACCTGACCAAGAAGCTCGGAAAGCAGAAGTTCGAATACTGCATGCTGCTGACTGGACAGAGCCACGTCAGCGACACTCCAGAAGCGAAGGGGAGTGTTGGAAACAATCGGTCCTAAGCGCCTCTGTCGTGTCGAAACACTAAGACACAAAAGAAACGAAGTATAACGAATCACCGGCGAGTCAACCCTCGGAGGTTGAAGTAACTGCTGGAGGTTACGCGAAAGTCAAAGGTCAGCGACCTTTGACCTGACAAGTACAGCGCGACAGCAAGGACACACAACTGACTCGCTACAGAGCAGTTGCCCGAGTCGTCACTGTATCGAACCGCAACAGCAACAGTAAAGTAGTTACAACTGTATCTCTTCATATTCCTTGTACTCTTATATAATCCTGTATCTCTTTGCTTTAATCAACTTACTTTGCCCTCACATACTAGCGCAAGGTGGTTCACAACTCTTTAACGCTTCCGCTACTACACCAACTCTACCCAGAGTTCACCCCTGCAAAAGATCCTAAGAGGCTTTTCAGCCCAACACATTAAACGCTTCCGCTACTACATCAGTTCCACCCCAAGAGTTCACCCCTGCAAAGATCCTAAGGGCTGTTTCTCAGCCCAACAAAATGTTCTAAAAGAAAATGTTTGTTGATACAGTGGAGGTTGCGGTTTGGGGCGCCTTACATACTGTATGCGTTTCTCAGTGTTAGGTTTTGGCTCTCAGAATGATGCAGTAGCGAGTGTGCGAGTGATGCATTTAGCGTGATAATTCTGCATACCAGTAGTTTCGACAATACTGGACGCAAAGTGGAGGAGCTAGCTAGGGTGTTGGGTTGGGTGGCTCAGTCCTGAGAATTGATGATCTAGTATGGTGAAAACACAAATTTGAGAACCAGAAAAATCTATGTGATCAAGTCCTGTATGGTACCACTATTTTCAGCCACAAGGACCAAGGACTCCAGCCAAGGGTGACGTCTGAGCCAATCACGATTAGTACTAGTACATGCCTCTCCCCCATCAATGTACTTCAACATACAGCTACGGTAGTTACGGCACAAACACATAGCATGTATGGTAGCTGCATCATAGTACAGTTAAACTCTCCAAAACTACCCATGTGTACCATACAACAGCAACAATACCGTAAGCATAACACAGCCGAGGATATGGTCAGCCAGCCATCACTGGTATCATGGCATGGCATGGCATGGCATGGCACAATACGGTACAAGCATGGCTGCTCCACCTACCGTGACAAACCCAGATTTCTTCACCCCTTTTCCTTCTCCCTGCTCGCGATGCTCGCCAGCTGGCGCACACTCATTGGTGCGATCGCTCATCAATCCCTTGCTGCCCAGGAAAATGCTCCGGGCCAGCCCACAAATCTTAGGATGCAGGCAGTCACATAAGAGCTTGCTCCGGGGACAGATGCACGTTATGGCGGTTACCTGGTAACCAACCACACAGTGCCTTGAGACGCTTCAAAACTTGGTTCCAGAAGAGGCTGTCCAGGAAGTGGCTGCACTCTGGGGAGGTTACCTGGTAACCACCCACTGTCAGTATCGGTGATGCTGGTCTGCATGAAGCTGCAGCAGCATGAGTTGGTTCCGAACAAACCTGCGGGTGAAGAGAGGCGACGAGGGAGGGGGATGGGGTGAAGTGGGGGAGCAGGAGGGTGAGGATTGGGGTAGGAAGGGCCGTCGCAGTATGCATTGGTTCTGAATAGGTGAAGAGTGGAAGGAAGGGGGGTTGGGGAGGAAGTGCGGAAGAAGAGGGGTGAAGCAGGCGGGGAAGCAGAGGGTGAGGTGAGGACTGGGATAGGAAGGGCCGTCGTAGCATGCATTGGGACTGTGGTGGCATGCGCTGCATTGGGGTGCAGCGCCTGCCGCCACAGCAGCAGCAGGCAGCCGAGGAAGGGGGGCTTCAATCAGCAAGAACCGCCACGTTTCGAGTCGACTCTAAACTCGCTCACAAGCCCCCCCCCTCCACCCCCACCTCTTCCCCCCCCTTGGACTGCCGGATGTGGTGCCTTCCACGCCACCGCAGCAGGCAGCCAAACGGGGGAAGGAGGGGGTTGCGAACAGCGAGAAGCTAAGGGCTTTCAGTCAACTCTAAACTCGCTTACGCCCTCCCTCCCCCCCCCCCCTGCTTCACTGCTTCTCTGCTGGCTGCAGCGCCTTTCCCCCCATAGCCTCCCATTCCACCGCCACTACTCGCCACCTCCACCAACCTCCCTGCCTCCACCTCTGCCTCACACCGTGCCCGCCCCACTGCTCCACCCGCCCCACTGCTCCACCCGCCCCACTCCTCCACCCGCCGCTTCCCCACCCTCATCCCTTGCCGCCTCATCCGCCACTCTCCCCATGCGTGCTTCACATCCCTGCTGTTTCCCATCGCCCCAGTCCCAGCCGCATCATCAGCATCAGCTGCAGCAAGCTTTTCCTTCTCCTCCAACCTCCTTCTCCTCCAACCTCCTTCTCCTCCAACCTCCTTCTCCTCCAACCTCCTTCTCCTCCAACCTCCTCCTCCTCCTTTGTCTCCTCGCCTCACCCACCTCCCTGCCCCTCCTCGCCTTGCTCTTCCCTCTCGCTGCAGTCTCCTCCACTCCTCTTATCAACACACCCCCTTCTCTTCAGACACCACCCCCACCTTCCTCCTTTCCTCCTCCACCTTTCCTTTTCCTGCCTCCTCACCCCTCCCATCCGCATGCCCGCACACCCACACCCTCCCCATCCTTCGCCTTCTCCCCTGCTCTTGCTACCTGTCCAACCCCTCTCGCCTCTGCCCCGTCGCCTATGTTCTCCTCACCCCCGTCCCCGCTCAGTACGTCACCAGGGCCCACCACGCTCGCAGTAATACCAGCAGGGGCAGCATCAGGAGAGGTGGCAGTGGCACGAGAAGGAACTCGTTTTGAGACGTCTCAAAACGAGGTGGCAGTGGCACGAGAAGGAACGCTCAAGGCGAGGCTGCTGGCGGGGCAGGGGGGAGGGCTGGCAGGCAGAGGCGAGTAGGGTTGGCTGGCGAGGAGGGCCGCACAGGCGGAGTGGCGGGGCTGGTGGCTTGACTGGTCTGGTCCGGGAGAGAGAGGTGACTTTTTTGAGTCGACTCAAAAGTCACTTTTGAGTGGACTCAAAAGGGCAGGGGGGAGGGCTGGAAGGCAGAGGCGGCGAGGAGGGCCGCACAGGCGGAGTGGCGGGGCTGGTGGCTTGACTGGTCTGGTCTGGAAAGACGCAGGATACGGTCCTGATGATGATTCCCCTGGGGGTGTTGGGAGGGGACGAGGAGGGGGGGCGGGTGGCGTGGCACTCAACATGGCAAGCAGCCAAGGCAAACAGGGGGAGTCTCCCAACAGCAAGAACTACCTTTGCTTGGAAGTCAGAACAGCAATATACAAACAACGCCGCCCAGCCCAGTAGGCTTGGTTCAGCCCGAGCAAAGCAAGCACCACAGCCGAAGCAAACGCCTGCACTTGGCTTCACTTCACTTCCCATCCTCCTGCGGGCTGCAGGGAGCATCGGGAGGGAGTGTCATCTCATCTCGTCGTTCTTCTTCCAAAAGTCAAGGACACCTCGTCGCCAAAGAAGAGGACAAAGTAGTCGTTTGTGCCCAGGCCGAGCCGGCTGTGGTGGAGCAAGACGGAGGGGTGGGGTGGGGTGGGACAGGCAGGCTGGGGTCGAGTCAGTACCGGCTGTGGTCTTGGGGTCAAACCATGGGAGCTGCTCGGATGCTCGCAAGGCGAGGAGCCACGTGTAAACAGAGATGTTTTGAGATGTCTCAAAACATCTCTGTTTTACACGTGGCAGGCTGCTGGGGTCAGTACCGGCTGTGGTCTTGGGGTCAAACCATGGGAGCTGCTCGGATTCTCGCAAGGCGAGGAGGTTCTGTTAGGAGGGAAGAGCACACGGAGTGAGGGAAGCATGGATAAGAGAGAACAGAGAGGGGAGTTGGGACAAAGGGAGAGAGAGAGAGAAAGAGAGGCAGAAAGGGTTTTGAACCAGACCTGACCGGAAGCGACCGTTCCAAACCAACGTCCCCAAACGTACGCTATGAACCTGCATCCCCGAACCTGCACCCCCGAACCTACCAGAGGTCCCGGTCCTGCAGCTGCATGGCGAGCATGCCAGCTGTCACGTCCCCATAGGCCGTAAACCCGTCACTTGATCTGCCATGCTGCTACCTGGCGGTTCAAAACCCCAGGGCGGAATGAGGGGAACGGAATAGGGGTTGAGAAAAAATGAATACGTGAAATCGAGGACATGAGGATGCGACTGTCATGACAGGTCACAGAAACATGCCATGTTGAGTGAAAACGCGAATATGAGGACCCCCATTCTCATTTCGAAATACGGACATGACGGTTAAAAACCTACTCATGGCCCATCAAGCTCTCCCCCGCCACATCCAACTCCTCGCATGACACTCACAAGACACGGTAACGAATCACGAATCGCACTAATAGCGGGGATACCCTACACCTTTTACCTACCCGGCGGGTCGATATGGAAGGAGATGGATTTGCGGCGAGTGGCGGCGGGGCCAGCAGGTTCCGCCTCACCGCCTCTTATTCCTCTTCGACGCGATAATAAGAAATAACAACATAGCTACCCGGTCGATCCAGAAGGGATATGGACACGCGCGTCGCGGCGGGGCCCAGCAGACTCGCACGCACCGCCTCCCACTCCTTCCAAAACGCATATGGCATGTGGCGCAGCGCCAGGTACATTACTCTACCGCGTAACGACAACGCGATTGTAAAGGAATCCCGTTTCAACGAATGCTGTTGTTGTGTAATGATCTGCTTTGGGAATCGCGATGCTGGTAGCGGGTGGCCGCAGGTAATCTAATCGAATCTGCTTAGTACTTCTGAGCCACATGGACTAGTAGTACCAGAGGAAAAGACGGTACACATCATGCCCAACCCGTGCACGCGAATTTGCCCTGCACCGGATGGAAACCCTGCACCCGAGGTTTTTTTCCTAGCCAGTTGCACGCTCTTTACAAGCACGTCGCGCAAGTTGCAGTTGTTATGAACCAATAGTAACGAACAGACCGATTCCACACTGAAGAGACTGATGAGACTGAAGAGACTGATAGGTTACAAACATTTTTATAAGCACCTGACGAATCCTTTTTTGCTAGCTGCGAATTGACGAAACTTATGCGAAACGCCCGTTACAGCTTATAAGCCCCCTTTACAAGGCAACCGGGAGGGCTCAAGCGGGCATCATGTGTAGAAGCAGGGATCTGGTCTGGTAACATTATGTAGGGAAATTGTCCTCATGGCATTTCTGCTCCTAAAAAGCTGTTACCTCGCAAATGTGAGTTTGCGACGTTTTTTTTGCGAGCTGACGAATACTTTCGAGGACATGGCGAGAGGTCACGAAGTAGGTAACCCTTGTTCGAATTTCGTTGTGACGCGCCCTTACAGGGGGGAGTCTAGGCAAGGCGACCTCGGGGGAATGTCGGGGGGGACCCCGATAAACAACCCGCGTTTCATATTCAGCTCACTCACCACGCTGCATCAATCTGTTGCGCTAGTCAACCGCACTCGACCTTTCACAAATCTCTTCACACTCAATTCTCTCCCCCTGCTGCTGAATTCGTCAATTCTCCCATGGCCTGTCGAGCCCCCATTCGCTCCAACCAACCACTCTGGGTGTCCTCACCTCGACTCATCCAAACCAACCCAGCCCAACCGAACCAAACTAATTCAGCACAACCCATAGCTGCAAACCCTACTCCAACACCAGCCGTCCCTCAGTATTGGTGCCTCTCGGTAGTGGCGCCTCTTGGTAGTGGCGCCTCTAGGTTGGCGCGTGCCTCTAGGTAGCGGTGCCTCTCGGTAAGGGCGAATGGCTGTCAGCCAAGCCACGACCGCATGTTGCTCGCGGTGCCGTCGCGTGCATTCCATTCGTCCATACTGCTGCTGTAGCAGCAGCCGTTCATAGCCTTGTATTGTCCTATCACTCTCACCTCAATTCCATTTAGCGCACGCGCATCGCTCTCATTTACGAACCAGCAGTGAGCGAGTCAGGATGTTGTGTGGACGGCAGTCGGCGCGATATCTCATAGCACGTGCTGTGGGTGACTTCCGACGTGGCAGCTGCCACGTCAAGCACTCCATCGCGAAAGTGTGAGGCCCAAAAAGTTGCGGAATAGCAACTTCAAAGTTGCTTTTCCGCAACTTTGGTTTCGCAAGAAAAAAGTCTAGGTCAAAGGCTTCTGTGGCGGGGTGACTTTCGAAGTTGCAGAAAAGTGACGACAAAGCGACAAAAAAATGGCCATATTGCAACCACACGACACAACTGAAAGGTGACATCTGAAGTGACATTTGTCTGAAGGACTTGGGCTTTAAGTTGTCAGAATCCCAACCACTAGACCATTGGGATAAAAGGGCTTTTTTCAGTAGCGGGTCAGTGCGCCCATAACCCCCCAGGCGAACGCGCCTGTAACCCTCTCCAGGATCAATCGGGCATCCACAGTGCAGATCTACTGACACCCCCCCACACTGGGAGGCCCAGGACTAAGCACAGCGGCAACGGCCTACATGTGCATACACCGGGAATCGAACCCGAGACCGCTCTGATACCATGTCAGAATCCCAACCACTAGACCATTGGGATAAAAGGGCTTGTTTCAGTAGCGGGTCAGTGCGCCCATAACCCCCCAGGCGAACGCGCCTGTAACCCTCTCCAGGATCTATCGGGCATCCACAGTGCAGATCTACTGACATAAGTCCCTTTTGCCACCCCTTTGCCACGTGGACGCCTGAACGCACGTATGTAGATATTTCCTGCCAGCTGTCAAGGTGAATAGTGGACGGACAAATGCCACGTGGACCAATCAGTTTTCGGGATGCATATTGGCGCATGCAATATAATTTGTGGAGACAATTGAGTTCAGCATGTACATATAGAAATTTATGTTACTATCAGTACATTTTTATACAACAGACCTGACAAAACGCCCTAACACCATAATCAACATGATCTGGCACAACTAAATAATCTAACTGCAGGTACTTCAACAGAATCAAAACATTTACGCCCTTTCAACCACTTGAGCCTGGAGTTCTGAAACACACGTAAAATCAGAAACACAATCCAAGACAGGGAGTAGTACCTGCAAAAACTGATGTTAGCCAGGCGAGAACAAATGTAGTAGTAGACATACCTGCGGCCACTTACCTGTTTGCCGCAGTGGACTACGAATGCTTGTGCCGTTTGATAAGTCAACATGTTTACGAAATACATCGACATTAATACAAGGTCGCGCAAATGAGGAGCGCACCACACGACGTTAAGAAAATACACATCTGCACACAAAGCGACATAATTCGACCAAGAGAGAACGCACTCCCAGCGTTGCCCTCCATTCCGTGCACAGCACGATACGTCATGAGTTAGGCAACAACAAAAAAAAGGAGAAACAAGGTGTCGACGTACCGATAAAGGACCGTCTCAGTGACTCATTTACACCCGTTGTACGGTTGTAAAACGGCTCCCGACCTCCAGTTGAATTTGGACTTCAACCTGGACAATGGCACAAGGAGAAAAAAAAAAAACGACGCAATAAGACTTTAGGAGAAAACGAGAATACTTAGGGAAGACGGATCTGATCGTGGCAGAAAAGATTGATGCAAAGAAGAGCAGCGCGCCTAGTAACTAGAGAAAAACGTTAAGTTTTGAGAAGAACAAGAGCAGAAAATGAGACACAATGCTAGGAGGAGGTAGAAGAAGGGGTTGGTTGGGAGCACATTCGAGAGGTTCTAGGTTCAGAGCTGACGTGGAGATAAGGAATCATGCTGATTGGTGGGCTCGGGTTTGTTTCCCACATCGAATGGTTCAGAACCACAAGATGTGGATCTGATTCCTGAATCAGCAGAGTTTTGGTTGGCGACGTTACCACGAAATTCGGGAAACACAGTTGGCGTGTAACATTCGCGCTGCTTGTTGATTGGTTGTTTCAATTTCAGCTCGGAGAAATTTCGGTCACACAAGTAACATTTCGTCAGCTGTGCGAAATTGCCGCCAACCTTAACTCCCTAAACCGCACTGTAACGCTCTTTAACACACGAGACACAAGTGGGTGTGCACATTTGAGGGGTGAAAGTGACATTTCCGTAGCTGTTTTGTTGCGCCATACAGGTGACATTCTCGCAACTTTCACCCTGGGTGTTTTTCCGAAGGTTTTCCGCAGCTTTTCCGCAAGAAAAGCTACTGTGTACATTTTGTGCCCACAAGAGATTTCGCGATGTCATTCGGCGAATGCATACCGAGCACTCACCTCCAAGACAAGTCACAGCCATCTTATCTTGAAAGCTCAGTGGTATCGCCTCTGTTCATTCCCTTACCTCGCTGGAAACCCATTTCAAGTTTCAATTTGAACTAGTAGTAGGCTTCGGTTCTCGCGGGAACAATTTTCGGAACATAGACTCATAGTCGCAGTCACGCGCCTATTCACACATGGCGGACGTAAATTACCCTCGAGTCGCGCGTTCTCTCGTCGTTCCTCACTACGCGCTGCGCACTCACGTTAGTACCACAGCGTGCCTCCGTCACAAAAAAATTAGGCCGGAAACATTGCTAAAGGATTGTTCAAAGATTGCGTAGAGTACTTCGAGGGAACATACCTTTACCATTATTATGCGGATTGCCTAGGCAAGGGGCGGGAATGCTCAGACACTCCTCTGGCGTGCCTACCGAGCAATCTCTAGGGTTTGTTGGAGGAATGTTCAGACATTCCTCGTCCGCCCTATAGGTTTTGCAGGTTTACGATATTAGGGACCTACACTTTCTCTGTTGCTAAGAAAAACTTCCGGAAACAAAACAACTCACCAATAATTTGCTGTATGCAGTGTGACAATACCGAGATGGTTTTGTCTATAGGCACAACTTAGGTGTAACTGTAACGAGTACACGTGGTAACATACTCCATGCCCTGCACGCCAATCAGAGTGCAGATCAGGGCAGCACACGTGGCGGTTCACTGTGGTGCGACGAATATGCCACGTGGCGTGGGGCATTACGGTTACGGTTTAACACAGCATGTGCACAAATGTTTTCATTGCGTTCATGGAAATCTGCACACCATAGATAGCATATAAGCGATAACGAAAAAGAAACAAGCGAAGCAAGCCGTCAGCAAAGTAAGCGACACATACGCTCGTGCATTTTGTCGCACGGATCGTCACACACTAGCGTGTCAGCAGACAGGCACAGGGTTGCGACGTCGTCACTGGATGCTGGACGACGCGACGACAGCATTTGCAGCGCGCCAACTCTGCCTACGCGCCCCCAGCACGCGGGGTAACTGGCGGAATGGGAGCCGGGGCCACCCCGGGCATGGTAGGTGACAGGTGTTCCATCCCGTCTTCCAGGATGCGGGTAGTGCTGTCGCGGCGGAAACTCCAGCCGCGCCTCTCGGAATCGCAGAAAGGGCCGTGCTCAGTGGAGCGGCGGATTATCACGCTATGTATCCAGCGCTTGACGCGCTCATGATACCAGCGCACCCCTTCCTCGTTCTGTGGAGCGCTACGCTTCAGAGAGCCACCGTTGACAATGGGAAACTCAACCTGCACAGGGCGGACCGGTCAGAGTAAGCAAGACAAATTGCACAGGAGATTGTCGGCTGGGCGTGTTAACACAATCCACTTACTCCAAACAGCCAGAAGGCCACGTGATAGGTGCGGATGAGCAGCGGTGGTGGGATTGGGCGCCGAAACGAGGCGAATATGGCGCGCTCAAACTTCTCGGTTGCAAAAGGAATTCCCGCCGCGTTGCGATGCCACGGGTGCAGCTCGAAACTTGCAGGCCCTGACATACGCAATTCAACAACCGCCATCAACATACACGCAGACCACACAGAGTCCAGAGAGAATGGCGCCGAATGAACCGCATAGGGTGCGAGGTTTTTACAGGGAAAAGCACGCTCACCGGCAGGGAAATGTTCTATGAATTGCTTGCGAGAGATGCGTGGCACCTCCAGCGCGCTCGGAGTTGCCGGAAGAGAGATGCGCGGGTTGGAGCCAGTCTTGTATGGCAGTCCATGCAGGATGTACACGTAAGCCCGGCCCTGCTCCCATTTGGTGTTGCGCCAGACCTGCATCTGGCGGGTAATCCACCCCGCCCGCTTCTCGTCGTGCGCCAGCAACATGTGGAGCATTGTGCGGTGCGCAGGGCTGGTGATACGCAGAGCGCGCGCCAAGAGGCGTTCGAGCAGGGATGGCGGCATCCAAAAGGTGAGATGTGCGACGGACGTGTCGTACGTCAATATCTTTATCATGTCCTCGACAACGGCCTGAATGCGAAGGGAGGCCACGAATAAAACCATGAATGTGTCACATAACATCTATAAATCAGAATCACAGGCCTTCTTAAGCATCGAATAAAAGCATCTGCAGAGCAATCTCGGCGTCTACCTTGAATCCGTCATCCATCGACGGAAACATAACGTGCGCTTCCTGTAAGCGGTCGGCCCAGTTCACCATCCCGGGTGTGGCGCGACCCCCCGTATTCGCCCGTCGGATCTCGCGCGCAAGCGCACGTTCCACCATTGGCGACCTTGGCTCCCCCGTCGCATCTGCCTGGCGGGAGCTGACCCGGCCCGCCGCCGTGCGCTGGCGACACGGTGCGGGCTCGTCCACAGCCGCGTCACGCGCGTGGCTGGGCCGGTTTGTTGCACGCGGAGAAGCGGGGCGCGCGGCAGCGGCTCGATTCCCCTCAAGCCTCTCAATGGTCTGGTTCAGCTCGTGAATGTGCCGTTCCTGTTCCGCGACCCGCCCGGCAATCGCGTTGTCAAGGGCAGCGCCGGGGTTGCCTGATGCATTTGCTAAAGCGGTTCCACGACGGTTCAATGTCGGGCCACATCCACCGGGGCGTTGTTCCTTGGACGTTGCCTGCGTGGAGGAAGCGATCACCTCGGAGAGTGGGCGGACCTCGCGCTGCTCCGCTGCGAAACACGGGGGAGGGGGGGGGGGGGGGGGAGGCGGACGGGCGGATGGAAAGCATGAAGTGGCATGGGTTGGTTGACAGAGCGGCCCGATATGATTGGTTGCGCTTGAGTGCACACAGCGGCAACGTCGCGAGGTAAAGCGGGGTTACCCTCCGCATCCTCGTCCACAAGTTCCTCTTCCGGCATCCAGTTGTCTTCTTCCTCATCGTCGTCTTCGACGTCCAGGCGCTCATCCTGGCGGTCCGCCCACGGCAAATACTCCGTATCGGTGTCTGGGTCGTTGCCGCGCGCGCCCGCAGCAGAGGGCGACGGTCCACGAGCATGGCGAGCGTTGGGGCGTGGGGAGGAGGTTCCAGGCCCGTAGTACACCATGTCGTCGCTGGGCGCAGGCACGCCGGCGGTGTTACGGGCAGAGCGCCTTACAGGTGAGTACGGGGAGGTCGCGGGCTCCATGGTCATGTGCACGGAGGTTGCTTAATGTGTTTAGAGATGTTCTAATAATGCCACGCAATGCTGGTCATAAAATAGCCGAGCTGTGGCACGCGTTGTCAATAACGGATAAGGTACCCCAGTTGCTGCAGCTTTAGTCGTGCTGGCGAGTTCATCTCGAAAGATCTGCGCGTGCACCAATGATAGTGCGCCCAGATTTTGAGAAACCAATCTTACCCATCGTTGCGTAGCACAACCATGACAGCGCGGCTGGCATTGTGCCAGATATTTCGATGGCGGTCCAGATGCCCTGTCCACGACGGATAGGAGAATGCGCGGGAGATATGCCCGCTGGTGACGTGGCACACCGCCCATGTCTGCTCCCTTCATGGTTCGACGGCATACGGTGGACCAGCCTACAGGCCACGCCGGGTATGAACCACCTCATGACTTACGGTTTACGTCTGAGGCTCTGCCACGGAAATCCTTGTGTCTCGTGTACGAGCCTACTTTCTTTGGTGAATGGCTTGTAATTCACTATGCCAGCATGGAGCTATTACATGGCGTAACGTAAACAAAACCAAAGCACGGTGACATATAATTTCTAATCAATTGCAACGTGTCCTCTCACAGCCTGAACTCAGGCAGGTCGTCGTCCGGCCTATTAAGGTCGTAATCCTGACATACGAGCCTATATAAAGGCACTTCGCTTGCACCAGCGGGGATGTCCCACGGGTAAGTGCACATGTTCTTACCCATGTTCCCCCACCAAAAGCGACACCCATCCGCAGGGATCTCCCACCAGGCAAGAATACCCATTGCGTGCGCCAGCACGCCGGCTCCCATGCCGTCAACCCCGCCGACGTGCGAGAACTGCCTGTACGCGAAGAGCTTTGGCTGCTCGATCTTGAACTGACGATATACCTGGCGAGCATCCCGTGCGCGGTGATAGTTGAAAAGGTCATTCTCCAACTGCGCACATGTAAAGTTACCGGAAGTGAGCGACGCACGGATGGGAACAATCGATTTTGCCGGCCGCTTCAACTTACCACCCACCCCTCGCTCATTGCGAAGTGCATCAGGTACGTTTGATAGTCGTGTATGGGCGGCCTGCTAGCCACAAGATCGTGCAAGCCGGTTGCATCGTAGTTCACATTTCGGTGCCCGTTCTTCACCGTGCCCACAAAAGCATCAGCGACAGCGTGAACGTCGGGGGGGTCGCGGTGGTCGCGCAGCACCGCGAGAATACACGCTTTGTCGATGAAAGATAACGACAAGCCCGGGCCGCCTCCCCGCGCATCCCGCAATGCCTGGGTTGCTTCCGTTCTTTGGGATGATGCGCTGACGTGTCGGGCCGGAACAAGATGCTGTATGCTCTCGGTTAACTTCCGGGGCGTGGGGTTACAACCATTGTCGACGATGCGGTTGAATTCGGCTTGCATCATTGCCGCGACAATCTCAGGATAGTCGCGAACGAGGACAGGAACAAAGGGGGGGCGTGTGATACACGTGCGGACCCGTGGCCATTTAGGACCTTTGTAACGTGTTGACTCGTATCGCTGGCTACCATCTCTGGCGCAGCGCCAGACCTGTGGCTTGGTTTCAGTGCTATCAGGAAGCGCGGAAGCCATGGCTTGCATCACATTGCTAGTTGGCAATGGAGCAACCAACATGGCCGAGCTGGCTCCATATGTGCCCGAATGACATTTGGAGAGGGCGATTTGGGTGCCTTGACATTTTGTGAATATGGCGATGTATCGCGAGTGCAGTAACGCCGTGCGAAAATATTCAACATCCATATCGCAAAGACCCCTATCCACGTAGATCCACTGCGACACGTATGATCCGTCATAATCGTCACAGGATTAGCTGGGGAGGGTACCGAGTATCCGCCACATCATGTTTCCAGCCAATCGTGCACCCTGGAATAGCGGCAGTCGGCTCCTTAACCCCCCCTCACAACATCAACGACCCAAACGACCAATAGGAACGCATGTCCACACAGGTTTGGATTCGTTACGATTACTTGGGCTGTTTTCAAACACTCGTAAGAATCTAGCAACTCAGACTAACAGCAATTCCGTTTTGAGCTAAAATAAAAGCGCTGGTTCACGCGATAATAGAACGTAGGGTCCCTCGCCAACGGAACATCCCCACCAACGCCAACCCCTTTACCGTGTATGGTGCGCCCTTCCTAGGGTTTCCAATGCCTACGCAGGGGTCGTTGTACGCCTGCGAGTGGTGTTCTAACCGGTTCCGATCGCTGACGGGGTTATTTTCTCACAAGCGCAGAGCTGGGGCATGCATCATAGCTGCTTCCCGCTTTATCAGCGAGACTCCTGCTCGTGGCGAGAGTGATAGAGAGGGAGACGGTGACCAGTATCAATCGTCTCAGTCTGATGATGACATGCCCGAGCTGCGACGACCATGGCGTCGTCGAACCTGCAACGGCCACGGAGCAGGAGGATGTGGTAAGTTGTCCAGGCCCCGCGAGCCATAGACGGTGGTGTTACACCAGTGCACAAACCCTACTCTGACGTTATGTTGTTTTGGGCATGCGCAGGTGTCAAGCGACGATGAAGACGAGTCGGACGAAGCTGACGGTGCTTCGTCAGACGAGGAAGCACATGCTGCTGCGCTACTGGATGGCGAAGAGAGTGCGCCAGAGGGAACGTTTCAGCCAGAGGACAACTTCGACACGCTCATGGAGGTGTTTCGCCTCATTGTCGGCTGCAACAACGGTGCGGGTCTCTCGAACGAGAGTACGGTGTGGCTCCTGAACCTTCTGCGCGACGAGCGTCTTGAGCTGGCGCGTATCCAACGTTGGCGAACGTTGTACGCCGTGATTCGGTTCGGCATGAACCTGCTGATGTCTAGCCGCAATTACGAGACGACCTCGTTCACCATTCCTGGATGGGATGGCACGTTCGAGGTGGTGCGCACTAGCGGGACGGAGGTGAGCAAGTCGCACGTTCACTCTGCGTCCATATGTCCGTAACGAGGCTCACCCAAAATCAGCGGTAACACAATACCATACGACTCGTGGCTCGTCATTGCATGCAGGCCGTTATCGAGCTTATTGGGAATCCAGAGAACGCCGAAGGGTTCGTGCTCGAGCCACGCCAAGTGAACACGGCTGCTGGTCGTGTGTACACGACGCCAGAAACCGGCACGTTCTGGGAATATGCGCATACGGCAGCACAGGCGGAGTATGGACCTGGGGCGGTGGTGCTTCCGCTCATTCTCTCGAGCGACGCGACTATTCTAAGCGGAAATGAGCACACCCGAGTGTGGGCGGTGTATATCTCCATCGCTAATATCCCGCTGCGGCGCCGATGGCTTGACTGCGGGAAGATTCTGCTGGCGATGCTCCCTTTCGCGCCGGACAACATGTCCCCGGCCCAGAAAGTGGAGCTATTTCAGGCGGCGATGAAGATCGTGCTGGCCGATCTTATCGTCGCCAGTCACACGTAAGTATAGGCGCGTCTTCTTTACTGACATCGGCCAGTCTGTATGCCCATGGCCTTGGCTGCCATCTCGTCAGGTGTTACGTAATGGCACGGTGGCTAACCTGTGCGCGCCTCCGTCCGTCGTGTCCTTGGATTGGCAGGGGAATAGCAGCCAAGGATCCGAACGGGGTGGACCGCTTCTTTGTGCCTCTGCTGTTCTCATACGTTGCTGACTACCCCGAGACTTGCAAGGTCTCGTGCACGCAGCAGCAGGCCTCAGCGATGCCTTGCTCTATCTGCTACGTGGGGCGAGGTCAGCTCCGGGACATGGAGCGGGAGCCAGCCGACCACCGCACGGTTCAGCAGCAGGAGCAGCTGGTGGGCGACCCGACAGAGGCGAAGGCGTACTCGACCATTCCAATCCCGGTAACTATACCGCACGGTCGCTGCATTATATGTTGGCTTCGTATGTGTGAGGGCTTTGGTCCCCGCGGTTCGTTGCAGATTCCCCTATATGGCCCATCCCTGACCGTACTCCCCAATGGCAGTGCTTTTTGTGGGATTTCAACTTCAGCCGTACCCTGTGGGGCAACACGTACCTGGCGCAAATGCCAGACATTCTGCACGCCATCTACATCGGCTTCTGGCTCTACATACGGAGAGTCCTGCGAGGGTCCGGCATTATGGCAAGATGGAAAGACGAGTATGTAAAGATGGCATTTGAGCAACCTAGTCGCACCTCAATAGTGTGGTCTTATATCTGAACGTACCTCTTTTTTTCTCCGTCACTCCGTTGCAGGCGCATGCAGACCATGTATCCCGACGCACGCCTGGCAGGACTTCGCCCTCCCGGGTCTGGCAGCTACTGGGCCAGTGGCGCAAACTTCACCGCCAGCGAGCATGCCTCTGCCATGATGGTGCGTTACGCTGTTTTGTACGGACGGCTTTCCCGGCGAATGCCGGCGTAGTGTGTTCTAATACCGTGAGCAAGGCTGACCACCCGCCCTGCCGTGTCGCAGCTCGCACCGTTCGCGCTCGAGGGGGAGGGTGAGGTCGTCAACAGGCTGGCGCTCGTGACTGTGCTCGAGTGGCACGAGTCTGGTGTGTGTGGTCCAAGTCACTCTGACGTATCCCTTGGAGACTTCGAGCAGGCCACAAAGAGGTATACCGCCATGTGGGGAGGAGTGAGGCAGTTGTCTCTTCCTACCGAAGCTAGCTAATGGCATATTGGTCGGTGTACGCAGGATGATACAGACTGTGGAGTCTGTCTTCCCGCGTGAGGGAGATGGGTGGAACCTAATCAAGGTCCATCTCCTCACCCACGTGCCCGAGTTTGTAAGGCGCGCCGGGTTACCGAGCCAGTACTCGGCGGCTGTGTACGAGAACGCACACATCCGCACGTGCAAGCTGCCCTACAGGACCTCCAACCGACGCCAGCCTCTGCAGGCGATCGCGGCGCACAACGTGCGCGCCGCAGCGCTGGCGCAGCTGGCAACGGCCCTTCCAGCCCGCAGGCGCAACCAGACGGCATTGACCCGGGTAGGGCTGTTTGCTGATAGGTGAATTTCATATGCGACGCTTGTGTCTTGTGACATTCGGCTAATTTGCATCTTTACACCATTGCACCGATGCATCCTCCTCCAGGCCATTGCGGCGGGCACCCCCCAGCTGACGGCATCGCGCAAGTCCCTGACTGCGCGGCCCGACCACGACCTTGACGCGGGCTCGGTGTTTGAGGAGATCAACAAGGCCGTGGGGGGGCTCCTGATGTACTACGACACTGTGATGCGCCACGCTGGCCTGCGCCCCTTCCCCGCCTGGGTAAGTGTGTCACATGTAGTCGACAGCTGGTATAGTCTAAGCTTGTCGTGTATGTACATGGCTGGATCCGCATTATGACGGCGGGGCGAATCCCTACACCCACATGTGCAAGTCTCACGCTCTCTGTGCTATCCCTGCCGCACATAGACCACGTGATTGTCAAGCCTCCAGTCTGACCCTATACCACCCTGTGCGCTACAGGCGCACATGGCAGTGGCGCTGCCGGCGCAGCCAACCGACCACAGGCACATCAAGCCCCATTATACCCGGGCTGCAGCATCGCTGCACGGGCGCACGGCTTTCTCCTGCGTGGAGTACGACTCGGCCCGTGGGCAGACCCAGTACGGGCGGCTGCTCATGCTGCTGGATGCAGAGCGTCCGCTGGACGACAGCAGGCATGAGCCTGTAGAGGTGGCCGTGCTGCAGAGGCTGACCCCCCAGGGCCTCGACGAGTGCACAGGCTGCCAGATGCTCGGCCCGCCCGGGTACTATCGCGGGCTCGCTGTCGTCCCCATTTCCCAGCTCCACCGCACAGTCCACTGCGTGCCGTCGTTCAATGAGCGTGCCCTCTGGTACCTCAACAAGTGGGCATACCTTATCAACGAGGAACGGGATTAGGATGGTGAGCAGGGGCTCACAGTGGTAATGCAGCTTCACATGTGGCGGCAGCGTGTGTGCCTGCCCTTCTGATGGTTACCGTGCTGCGTTCATGGCAAACCCTTCAGCAAGCCTCGCGGAACCTATAAACCATTGCTTGCTTGGTGGAAAAGCGAGTGTGCGCCTGCACATCCTTATGCGCATCCATAATGCCCTTGTACTTCTATATGTACCATATATGTTTCCTATTTTCGCAACAGCGCTGTTTTGAGCTGGCTACAAAGTGGGTGATTGCACTTGCTACCATTATTAGACGGACATAGCGTAACCGGCACCGGATGTGATTCCTGGTATGCGTCTGAGAGGGCTGCGCAAACCAGCGCAATATCCAGAGAGTCATTTAGGTTACTTCTGACATGCCACCCCCTAGCATACCCTGGCAGTCCTTTGGTTTTGCCGTTCGAGCGCCGGCAATTTTTTTGTGAAGTTCTCCTGCTACTCCTCTACTGCTCACCGACGATAGCTTTCCGGCCCATATCGAGGCAGATCGTATCGAAGCTGCCTGCTGCTCGCCACAGATCCTCCGCGCGGATGGTTCCACCTCGCGTGGCGCAATTTCTCGCTGCGCGGCGGGCGGAGAGAGCATCCGCGGGGGGACGCAGAGGCGGGTACAGCCGGACAGCGAGTTCAGGGTTGCGCGCATCCTCCGCAGCCACGCCGCAGGCTTCGACGGCTGACACAGCGGCTCTCAGGGCAATCTTCACGGCCGCGCTGCTACCTATCCCGGCGAAGCAGCCGAACGCGTGCACGTGGCCCGGCGTGAGTTGCGCCGCGAAAGGCGTCGCTGTTCAAGAAGTATCCTTCGACGACTACATCGACTTCGACTCACCGCGACCCCCCCCCACGCACGCCTCGCCTTTGCGACAGTAATGCGCACGTACCCGGCGGAAAATTCCCCGCAACCCTCTCCGATTCTATCGGCCAGTTGACGGGTCTCACATATCTCGGGGTGTCGTATCTCTGGCTTGCTGGCTCGGTCCCGCAATCGTTTTCCCGGCTTACGAAAATGCAGAGCTTCGATCTTAGTCATAACTGCTTCGTTGGTCCTCTTCCTGTCGCCATTTTTCGCATGCCGCGGGTTTCCGAGGTGTTAGCCTCCCATAATTTCTTCTCCGGCGGGTTACCACAAGGTCCTGCTGCGTACGCGGTGACTTCGCTAGAGAATCTGGATCTCGGTTATAATAGGCTGTCTGGGCTGATCCCTGCTGCCCTCGCGACGCTGCCGAGGCTTGATGGGATACTTATGAGCTCGAATCGGCTAATTGGGAATATCCCTCCTGCTATACTGGAAAGGGAGGAACCAGTGATTGATATCATGATTTTGGATGGGAACCGGCTTTCCGGCGACCTGAGCGGGCAGCAAATCAAGACGTCTATTTTTCGCGTAAGCGGGAACAGGCTTTCTGGAGATTTCAACTCGATCAAGTTTGGGGATCTTGACGTGGGCTTCGTCAACGTTTCAAATAATTTGTTTTCGGGCTCATTCCCGCAAATTTTGTGCCGTCCGGGCGCCTCCACGACAATTGATTTTTCACGGAATATCCCAGCGGAAACGGGTCGTCAAGCCTGACGACCCTCTGACGACTTGACGACATGCTGCCCCGGGCAGAAAAAAACTAAAACCCTATCGGATGGCATGCCATCCTAGGGAGGCATCAACCCTAAATCCATGCCTCCCTGTGTTTAGGGTTGATGCCTCCCTGACCGGATGCATGCCCTTCTGGGGTTTTTTTTTTTTTGCCCGCGGGCAGCGAGCTCCCCTGGGCGGACTCGCTTGTCCGCTGAGATATATTCTTCGGAACCGCCTGACAGGAGCCGTTCCCAGCAAACTGTTTCGATTCCGACAATTCTCCTGCTGAGCTCTTTTTAAGCCACAACAATTTCTCGGGCAGCTTGCAGCCGTTTACAAAGCTGCCGGATCTCTCTACCCTGGACCTCGGATTCAACAAGTTCACAGGAAGCATTCCCCAAGGCCTGACCCGTCTTGATCTTCAGACCTTGGACCTCAGGAGAAACGCTCTCACAGGTGAGCTCACTGGTAAACTGCAGGTCAGTTAGGTCTATACGGTAAAAACCAGAACTGTATGAATTCAGATGGGTGTATTTCTGTTGGGACCAACCACTCTGAACCACTCATTTCTTTTCCTCTGTTGATTAATCTGTTCACTCCTCCACTCTTCTCGTTCCGATTCCCCTGCCCTCTCCCTCAGGCCCCCGTCACTTAACTTCCTCCTACGCTACCTCCCCTTCCCCCCACCCCCCAGGCCCCATCCCCGCCTTCTGCCAGGGCAATCAAGCCCTCATCTTCCTCACTTGCTCACTACTCTTTCTTCCTGTTTTCCTTTCTCTCCCCTCTCTGCTCCTCGTCCCTCGCCCCATCATCCCCCTCAGGCACCATCCCCGCCTTCTGCAAGGGCGAGTACCCAATGTTTTACCTCAATCTCGCCTCCAACGCCCTCTCCGGCCCGCCCACCCCGCTCTCCTCCCCCGCCTGCGCCGCCTCCCTCGAATATCTCAACTTTGCCTCCAACCGCCTGTCCGGCCCCATCCCCGCTACAATCAGCTCCTTTACAAACCTCACGCGCCTCCGCCTCGACAAGAACAGCCTCACGGGGGCGATCCCTGCTGGTGTGAGCAATATGAAACAGATGCGGGGACTCGGATTATCGTATAAGGGTACATTCCTGCGGGGACACTTGTGTCTCAATCACTTTGTGACATCTAAAAACAGCATATACCGTGCCCTGTCACAAAAGCGGATCGCGCTTATGCGAGTCCCACTGTATTTTACATTGGTTGGCGTGAATTGCGCTTGTGTCGCGGACGAGTTACACGAGGCCCCGTCACATCCCGAAAATCGCACGCGTGTCGAAATCTCACACTGTACAGCATGCACCTGGACGCCCGAACTGGGCACGTTTCCGCGCGGGGATGGAAACCGCTCTGCCCGGGCTGACATATGACTGGTCCTTCAGCACACACGGTCACATCCCTGCCCGAATGTTTGCCCATCGTTCCAACCACACTGACAGCACTCTCCCGCTCCAATCTGTTCTTCTTCTCCCAACCCGAGCTTCCTCTTTCTTGTTGCGAAGTCTAGCCAGGGTCTTCTTTGGCACGCTGTAGCCATGGCCCGTAAGCGCAAGAGCGTAGCTAGTTCTGTTGACTTGTGCCCGCGGGATCTCGACGAGATCCCGTACATCGCTTGGATGAACAAACAAATCGCGGCCGGCCGCAAGCCCGCCGGCCCTTTGCCCGAAGGAGCGCCTGGTGCGGGGGACACCTCGTTCGAAGCCCCGCGCGATGTCCCTACCCGCGGACGCCGTCATGCCGACCGGGTTGCCTCATCCCGCGTCAACGACGATGCTACCTTCGATGACGATGATGACGCCGCGGACTCTGATTACAACGAGTGCGACGAGGCCTGCGAAGACGACGCGGACTCTGGCGAGGAGCAGGACAAGGGCATGTCCCCCTCCGAGGATGAAGTTGACGCCGACGAGGACGCCGATGACGACGAGGACGCTCCCGAAGAGGCCCAGCCTGCGTCCCCGGCTTCTCGTCGCGGCCGTGCATCTGCCGCTGCGGGAACCAAGACTGCTGCTAAGGGCGGGGAACCTCCGCGTGCCGCTGCCAAGACCCGTAACTTGCATCCTGTTAAGCGGAGCGTGTGGTCCCCCCGCGAGAACACAATCTTCGTGGCTGCGCGTTGGTTCATGAAGGACGAGCTCGGGCCCCTCCTCGGGAAGCAGGGCTCTCAGTACTGGGCCCGCCTCGCGCGTCACCTCGAGAAGGAGAATCCCGGTTGGGTGCGCGGTGTAAACGCGCTTCAGAAGCAGTGGCGCAATCTTGTGAACATGTACAAGCAGATCAAGAAGGGGGAAAAGGCGAGCAGCAAGGGTGCCGTGTGCAAGCCCCACTGGTACCCGTACATGGCGCTTTTCCAGAACAACAAGGCGGTGGGCAACCCTCACGCCGTCGACGGTGGCGGTGCGGCACACGTCAACGTGCCGTGCGGGTACGCGGTCCCGTCCACTTTGGCGCCCTGCACCTCTACGCCGACATTCACTGGTATGTGTGTGTTGCATCAACGGTGGCACTCGCGGGTTTGTTGAATGACACATTTTGTGACAACATTTTACGCACACATTACATCATTAAAATGTTTAGGGTACATAACACCTCGTCTACTGTTCGTGTGCATCCACCGTGTGTGCAGCTCCGCCGCCACAGGGAACTCCTACATCGAAGCGCCCACGTGTGGCAGAGACGGCGACGATGGCCACTGCAAAGCTGGTGTGCGAGACGATCAAAGGCTGCCACTCAGACGCCATGAGCAGGCTCGAAGGCCTCGTCCGCGCGTGGATGGATCAGGACGCGCGTATTGCTCGGGAACGCGTGCAGCAGCCCGCACCCTCCCCGCATGTCCGCGACGACATCCCTGCCCACGCGGACAACATGACCGACTCGCACGCCGCCGAAGGCGGCGACGACGGCTGGCTTCGTGGCGGGCAGGCGGGCGAAGACCCCTCTAACCCAGATGCGGGTGAGGAGGTGTGGGTCCGCGGCGCCGCCGAGTGAGGTAAGACGACTCCAGAGCCTCGCCCAGCCGCTTGCGCCTTTCACGAAGATTCTCTTGCGTGCATGGGTCACATGGCTCCCACATGAACTCTGCTACCGCGCCACGAGTCCACCATGGGTCCCGGTTTCGGGGCAAGTTTGCCCACGATGCATTGACGCGCCTTACTGCGCCCATCATTTCGCACATGTTGTGCAGGATGACGCCACAAGACGCCCCTGCAAGAATGCGCCAGAGCTTGCAGTCATTGCGGCCCGCGAATAGACGCCACCGGCCTTTGAAGGCGCCGATGCAGCGCTCTACTGCCATGCGCGTTGCGCTTTGGCAATAGTTAAAGCACTGCTCCCAGTCCTCCATTAGGCCTTCACGGGGAGCATGTAGGGGGGTCAGGCAGAAGTCTCTGAGTGGGTAGGCAGCATCTCCCACTATTTGGTATGGCGCTATGTCGCCGTTGTACAACCTTTCGTGTAACGCGCTGTTCATGAACACTCTCTGATCGTGCGCACTGCCCGGGTATCCGATCAAATAGTCCCATATGATGCCTCGCGCGTCGCATGTGATCTGCAACTGGACGGCGTAACAGGACTTCCGCGTGTAGTAATCTTGCCTGTGCCCCTCCATCCCCTTCATGGGTATGTGTGTGCCGTCTATAGCCCCCACTACCGCAGGTACCCCCTTGATGGCGCGGAACTCTGCGGCCATCTCGTCGAGGTCGTCGCGGGTCGGGAAGTGGACCCACTGCTGCTTCAAGACGGACGGGAAATGCATGAGGAGCGCGTCAACAAGCATGTGGCACAGGGTCTTGGACAGCCCGAACACGGAGGACAAGTCTACGAAAGACATGCCACTTGCGAGGTATTTGATAGGTACAAGGCATGCCACTTCATGACTGATTAGATACCTGTCCACGTACGGTTGCATGTAGTGCGTCATCCCGGCGACAATGTATTCGAGAATGCCACGGTTTATGCGAAACATATCTCTGAACTGATCCTCCCCCATGCCGTCCAGGTCCTCTAGCAGCAACTGGTATCTCCGCCGGCGTAGCCCAGCCCTTCGTTTCCGCTCTGCGGTACGGTTGGAGGCGCGAGAGCTGGATGACGAGGACACCTCGTCATTGAAGACGTTCGCCTCCAGCAAGCCACCGACCGACTTGGCGATGGCGTCCATGAATATGCTGTAGTAGAACGTAACCCATGCGACAAGTAGGCGCATGAGGAATGGCACCTCGCGGGGCGATGCCATGGTTGCTAGACAGTGGTGCAGTTTAGCTCTGTGATGCTTGCGTTTTTGTACTTGGAGCCGTGGTTGTATACATGCTGTTGTGTGTGGGGTGGCCCAAATTGCAACTTTCATTTCTGTGGCAAGCCCACCGCGATACTCGAGGTGGTGCGATATGTTTAGCCCCCCTGCCCGGCGGGAAAACTGGGTGGGCACAATCCTATTGGTCGCAACCAATAGTACGCACCCACCTGGCTGTGCCCATCTGTCGCGCAGGGTCGCGATACATTGGCTGTTTGTGACACAACATTTGGCAAATTTACAGGCGCGACTCGGGAAAACGGGGATTGAGACACAAGTGTCCCCACAGGAATGTACCCTAACAACCTATCGGGGAAAATTCCCGCGGTTTGGCCATCAAAGGTACGGCAAGTGCTGCTGGCAGGGAATCAGCTGTCAGGGGCTGTTCCGGCTGCTCTGAGCAAGCTCAAGCAAGGCTCGTTCAAACCAGGGAACGACAATTTGTGTGGGACGCCGCTGCCTGCTTGTTCTTAAAAGTTAAAGCCATCCCTACTTGTGGATTTGAGAACCCATGCTAATCTGATACACATACCGTATGGTATTGATTGAATGCACTGGTATCTATACATATTTGTATATTTATATATTTATAACCACTGTATTTCTTGCTCAAGAGGCTTTTTCAAGCCAGGGAAGGGAACACAGCTTGTGCAGAACACTGCTGCTTGCTTGCATCAATTCAGGAGGACCCCATTCACCCCCCACCCCGCCTTTCCATCCCCCCATACGGTAGTCCCCTTCCCCTCTGGTCCCGCTAATCCCCCCATCACTGTCTCAGTCCCTCGCCCTGACTTCCCCAGCCGCCCCACCCATTTCTTCTCCCCACCGCCTTCCCCTTTCACCAGTCTGCTACTCCTGCCAAACTCTCTCATTTCGAATCGAGCCGCCCGCACTCACTCCAGTCTGCTCCTCCTCCCACGGTCTCTTGTTCAAATTTGGCCCGCCTGAATCTCCGTCCGGACCGAACGCCCAGCCTGAGCCTGCACCGAACCTCCTTGCAGCCTCGAACGGCGCCTCCAGGTTCAAGAGAACTCCGGAGCTGGCAGCTAGGGACGGCATGGTCCCCACAGCACAGGGCACCCAATTAGCTGCAAACCCTCCACCTGTCTCTTGGAAGGCTATTATCAGCAAGAGGTGGAAGGCTCCACCTCTTTCTAGGAAAGAGTTTTTCAGCAAGCCTCCTGCTGCTGCCAGCATTGCTGATTCCTCAGCACAGCCCTCGGAACAAGGATCAGACATATCAAGACCCCTCATGACCCCTCATCACCCCTCATTACCACGCCAGAATACGAACCTACACACGGGTGACATGGCAGGGCAGGGATCAGGATGGAAACCGAGAAAGGAACAAGTGACAGCAGCGTATGACTGGCGGAGCACAAACCGCACAGAACTGCGCGGAACCGCTCAGAAATCACATGACACGCAGCCAACTAACCGTGGCGAACGTGGGTGAATTGTTGTGTGCGTTCAGGCTGATTGAGGCACGAAACATTGTGCGTTCAGCCTAACGCGGGTGTTAGCCCGGGAACGGGTTGTGGTTTGATAAGAAGTTTTTTGAGAGAGGGAGGGTGAGTGGGAGGGTTAGAGGGAGGGAGAGATTGGGGGAGTTGGGGGAAGAGGGGGCGGGGGGTGGGCAGGGGTGGTGAGGTGGGGAAGGGGAAAGGGGTGTACGCATGGATTGCTGTATGGGGAAGACTGACTGGCGGGGCACGAATGGGGGGAGCTGAGCAACCGCGTGGGGCTGCCTGGAGGTGGGGGGGTGGGTAGAAGAAGGGTGGAATTAAGGGAGGGGAGACGGGAAAGGAGAGCTCCGATCCTGTCGCATTCCGATCCGAACCTACATTGCCAAACCTGAGTTACGAGCATAAATGCAAGAGCTTCGGATCCTGCAGCAGCACAACCAGCACGAAAAATGAAACAAAATGTTCGTTATTGCGCTATTTACATATAGATAAATGAATAAATGAAAAAAAAACATACATATATAAGTAATAGAAACAAACTCATTCGTTCTAAAGTGTAAAGAATCTCACTCAGCAGTGAAATGAGCCTTTGCGACACGCCTAACCCATCCACACCGAGCCCTTCCCCAGCCCCCAAACCTGCATCTCCGAACCTGCATCCCCAAACCTACCAGAGGTCCGGGTCCTGCAGCTGCACGGCGAGCATGCCAGCTGTCACGTCCACGGACACGGGGTGTCACCTGGCAGTTCAAAACCCAATGGCGGAATGGAGGGGAACGAATTCGGGTTTGCGGTTTCACAGGTCATAGAAGCATGATTACGCGAATAAGAGGAAATGAGGACAGGACAGTTAGGAATTTACTCACCGTAATTCGCTCCTCTCAGTACGAGCAGAATTCACTTCGGAGATAACCTATGGCTTCATATCAGGGGATAGAACTATGGCTTGGCTGCTACGGTGTACCTACCGAAGCTGCTCGACCCATGGACTCTCCCTCACCGCATAACTCCTAGCAGTACACTCACATGACACGGAAGCGAATCCAGAATCGCACTACAACGGGGACACAGCTACACCTATTACCTACTGCCTGGTCGATCTAAAAGGGAGATGGATTCGCCGCGGGTCGCGGCGGGGCCCAGCAGATTCGGCCTCACCGCCTCCCACTCCTTCCACGATGCCCATGGCACGTGGCGCAGTGCTACATCATTCTACCCTGTAACGAATGCGCTTGTAAAACATGACTTTTGAGCAAGCTGTTGTTGCGTGACGATCTGCTGGAGGAATCGTGAACCGCGATACTAATATCGGCTAGTGCTGGCCTAACCGCAGGTAATAAAATCGAATATGCTAGGAACTTCTGAGTCGACTAACAAGTAGCTTCGACTAAAATGCAGGGATCTGGTAACATATGTTGGAACATGCTCCTCGTCGAATCAGCTGTACCGCCCTATCGCTATATGGTTCCTAAGGGCGCGCTGCACTTCTATTTTTTAATTCGAAAATGCTGAAGAAGATCGATCCAAATCCGAAATTTTGGTGAAGTTCGGGTTACTGTGCGTTTAGCGTTTACTCAACTGAATTTTGTCTTGACTGAACAGTGATACTGTTGCAGAAGTGCACCACGCTCGTGTTTTGCATGCGAACTTGAACGCCATAGCGCCCGAAACGCGGGCAAACGATACTGCAGAATTCCCCGTCAAATGCTCGAACTTGACAGAGAAGTGCACCACCCCAAAAGGTGAACCTCAGTTGCGAAATAAACGAAAAACTAGCGACAGTAACATAATAGTTACGATGCTAAACGAAATGATGTGATTGGCTAGGCGACGTCTACAGTGTACCTACGACCTCATTTCGGTCGCACGGTTGCTAGGAGTTCGGGTTCCCCAAAAAACCAGTCTTGGTGCACCTGACAAAGGGTGCCGATATTCTGTGTTTTTGCATGTTCAAGTTCGAAAACACTGAAACGCGTGCAAGTTCGCCCAAAATCCGCTCCAAAGAATTTTCGAATTAATAAATAGAAGTGCAGCGCGCCCTAAAGAGCTATCGTAACTGCTTCCTAATGCGCGAGCAAATGAGAGGTAGGGGCACAGTCAACTTACGGGAGTTAGCGCAAGGGATTCGAGGGAAGCAACAACCCAGTTAATCACCGCGTTGCACAAATCTTTATTGTTTAGTACCGCACTAGACCTTTTGCAGTCCTGTTTTATCTCGAATCTCCATTCGTCAT